TACGCTATATTAATTATCTATTTTTAGATGTTAAAAAAGATATAAGAATGGGATTTTTATTTTTTTTTTAAAGAAGATTTTGTAGATATCCAATTCACCCCACCCCCACTCCCCCATCGTGGTTAGCATCGTGACTAGTTTTTTAGAGTTTAACACTATTGACCTCATTTTTGGATGAGGTCACTTTGGCCTTTTTCTGAACTCTAGAGCCCAGGACTTCCTAGATCATAGGATCCTTCTAATTTCATGACTCTAGGATCAATCTAGATCTTAGGACACTTAGACCAAAATCCAAGGCCAAGGGCTTAGGATTTGAAAGCCTTATCTAGTGCTTTTTCAAATACTTCAACACCCAGTTAACTGACCCCCGATTCAGAGTATATCAATTACAGGTTGATAAGACATGTCTCTGGGGTCAACCCTATAAATTTGAGCCGATTCTGACATCTCTAACCCTAGAGATTGAATTGAAATCCAAAGGCTATAAAACTTTCAAATATTTATAATCCACGCCACTAGGCCTTTCGCCTAGTGGAATTTGACTCTGGAGCCCCCTCCAAACCTTTGATCACCTCCAATACCTTGATTTTGACTTGTTAAGCAATAGTTTACATCTTTCTAGATCCAATTTGACCCAGAACCGACTCAGAGCCAAAATGACCAAGATGCCCTTCAAGGGAATTTTTGGACTTCTGGCCTAAACTTAACTTGACTTGACCATCAATCCTTGATATCTTCCTCAAATTTTTTTGAACCCAATTCAAACCATGGGTCAATTTGGTCAACCAAGTCAACCCATTTTGACCTTAAGTCCCCCTTAAGGGTCAAAATGACCATTTTGACCAAAATGACCTCCCCATGCCTTAGAATCTCTTCCAACACACTCAAAATATTATTCCAAATCCATTTGATCCAAGTCCAACCCTTGGGTCAACCTGGTTGACCAAGTCAACTTAGGTTGACCTATTAGCTCTTAAAGGGCTTAAATGGGTCAAATTAACCCATTTGAGCTTTCCTACTCCTATCACCCATTCAAATTAACTCGTACACTTGACTTAAGCATAACTTGATACTCGGTCAACACCTTGAGTTACCAAGTCAACTCTCAATTCTTAGTCAAACTTTGATGGCACTTGCTTTCACCCACTCTAGCCTTGACTTTGACCCTTGACGCTTGCCTAAACCACTCCAAATAATATTTCACATCCCCAAGTGCCACATCATCATCTTTGACCTTGTTAACTGGTCAAACCAAGTCAACAAGGTCTTTGCACCCCTCTTTGAGTTGGTCAAAACCCTCTCCAACATCATGTATTTGCTCAAAGCTTCAACCCTTTTGATTCCAAACTCCTTAGGATAGTTTCCTACAGCTCTCTTGACCCTCTCCAAGCCTATCCTAGTCATCATTGACTGGTCAATAGGTCAATGAGTCAACAAACTCATTTCTAGCACATGGAAAGAGACCAAATTAAGGCAACATCATCAAGCCACCTTGACAATTCATGGGTTAGTCTAAAACCTACTCAAATCTGCTGGTGATGTGACATTTTCCCTCCCTTGATAGAGCTTAAACCAGCCCCTTAAACAAGGCTTGGCATTGGTCCATCCAAATGGGGAAAAAGGTGTGGTCCCCTTTATCATGGATCAAGAGAAGTCACACTCACCACCAACCCTATTCCCTAGAATTGGGCAGCATAGGGGACACTTGGAACTCATCCAAAATCACCACAAATCAAATCTCAACCATCCAATCCAAAAGCCAAAGGTAAAGTGGGGGAAAACCTAACCTAAAGGTGGCTTCTTCATGATTCCCACTCATATCATCTAAGTCCCAAAACTCCAGCATCCTCCCATCTTCCAAGAGCTTCTCCCATATTCTCCAGCACATTCCAAGGCCTTACCAAGCTTTTCCCAATCATTTCCAAGCCTTAAATTATTATTTTAGTGAGGAGAGAGCATCCTAGAGAGAGAAAGAGAAGTTTCAATTATAACTTTCGATCTGACGAGATCCAGATCTTAGAGTCTGCATAAGCATTGTAGAGGATCACTGTAGCTTTCCAACGAGCCTAATATCTCAAAAATCTGATGGTTGGATTGTATGTTATGCTCATTTTAAGTTTAAATTTTTATTTGAAACTGTAGCAATTTTACAATGCATGGAGCCTCCAACCTCCAGAAAATTGCAAGATTATATTGCCCTCTAACTACATTTCAAATTTCGTTAAACTTTGTTGAGTATTTTGGGAAATATGGCCATTTGACATTTTAGGCCATATTTGATTTTTCAAGGATGTGTTAACGGGTTTTAAGAGATTATCAACCCGTTAAAGCTTTCAAACTCTAGAATTTTCTAACTTGATTAATAATATTCTCAACAAATCCTTTAACATTAGTAATCAACTTTTTTTTATATTAATTTATTTCTCTTAATTTCAACCAACTTAAATTAACTTAATCAACCCCGATTACTACTAGGTAATTTAGGCCTACGAGACTATTAGCTTAGCCCCAAGGAAGGTGAAATAAACTTCACGGCCTCGGTGTGAAGCAAAGGTAGTGATAAATTAATCTTTAAAATGCATTTAAATAAAATTATTAAGATATCAATATTTAAACTCTAACTTAAATTTCTCTTTAAGCCTTAACAAATTCAAATACTAGATAACTCTAGCCAATCACCCAACCTAGGATCTATCCTAGCCACACGACCTTTTATACACACTTTAGATGATTTACTAAGACAACCAACTCTAGATCTAGGTTAGGCCAGTGTTTACTTTTCTACTGTGTGCCAGATTTTTTGTGATACTACATGTTGTGGATGAAATTATCTTGTTGTGTCTGCTTACTTTTTACTGCACTCTGTGGATGATTGATGTGTTTGACGACTAGATTACCCCTATGATAGATACGATCTAGATGTTCATGCAGTTTTCTGCAGGTGGCCATGCTCATGCAGGGTAATAAAAAGGGGGCTAAGTCAATAAAAAATCAATTATTATAAATGCTTGCATAGGTGCTTCAGCTGCTAAAACCCCCAAATAAAAAAAAGAGCGTGGTCAGTGTGTTTATTTACTTTTCTGCACATATATAACTGCTTTGGAATAAATTTTTTTGATTCATTAACTACTTAGGATAACCCTACAGGAGAGTCTATATCTTTTTCATTTTTATAGAAATGTAATTTGTGCAAATGTAAAGTATTGTGAAAGTGGAGTTTTGAATTGAGATACAAAGGTCAAAAGCTTGGACTCCAAAGAGAAAAGGACATCCCTTAGGGGAGTGCCCCTTTTCTTTTTGGAGATCCAAATTTGGATCACTTCTTTCCTACCTAAAGAGAAAAGAGTTGCCTTCCCCTCAAAGGAAGTGCCCTCTTATCCATTTGGGTAGTCTACTACAAGGAATCCAATGAGCTTGAAGAAAAGGAGCCCGAAGGAGAACAAGATTGAGAAATTGAAGACAAAAGTATCCCATTCAAAACCACTTGCGTCTCTACTAGGTTTAGAATCCGAGTTACTATCAGTGGTGCCCGTCGACTTTATTTTCTATAAATTCTAGTTTGTAATAAGCAAGGCAACTTTGCCTATGGACATTTATTAATTAATTTATTTATATTTGATGTATTGAAATGATTGCATTTAGGATTGTCTTCTATCTTAGTTTTTTGACGTTTGTGTGTCGTTTTTATTTTTACCTGGATACATGAGACTCATAAAGGTGTGAGAATTTTTATACTAATAATCTTAAAGTTTAAAATTTAGCGAGTCTAAATAAAATAAAAAGATAACGAATTTATGGAATTAGCCGGGGATCGACCCGGGGTCGCATGCATATTTCTACACTAATCTATCCTTATTTTAGGCCCTTCCCTGCCGCGAGTAGAGTCCAGATAGTCTGACCTATAAGGACGAGGTGCCGGACATAGGGAAGTCTAGTCTTCTAAAAAATTATTTTGTAAGACTATTTTTGACTTTCAAGCATACTTGATTTGAGGTTGTTAACTAGCATGTATTATATTAGAAATAAATTAAAAGAGTCAAAATTTTAATTACATTAGTTCTTAGCATTTTGCACCCAACTTAACTCAAAGGGGCCAATTAAGGAAATATCTAGATGTCGGCCTCAACTCTCCAAAATCATTAAATAAAACGTCCCTACAACTCTTTCATAAAAGACCAGACTCATCTATTTTAAATCGATTATGTGATTAGCTGGCTCCCTAATCCAGGCCGGGGTAAGTCTAGATCTTGCACTGCATTAGTTAGGTTCGAAAAACTGTTGTCTAGTGTCCAAAATTAGATTTAGGATATGGGGCAGATCTTTGATTATAAGACCCCAAATTTCGTGAATATAATCCCAAATTTCTAATAAAATGCTCAACTCTAATTAAAATCTTCTTTCAACCTAAAATATAGAGCCCAATGCTTAGAATAAGTTGTGACACTTCCGGATGGTTCTACAATCTCAAAGTATCCCCTACTTTTCTTCTCTTGATTTTGATAATAACTGTTCAATTTTGATCCATTCACCTATGTGCTTCCAAAATTCATCTCTTTTTTGATATCACTACTAAAAAATCTAATAAAATTTTGCAACTATTTTAATCGAGAGTTTTCGTATGGGACTTTGTCTCCCTACGATGTAATTAACTACGAGGGCTTGCACTCGTATGAGATTTTTTTTTTGAGGAAAATGCAATTGCATTAATAGGAAAAAAGGACTAATTACAATCAGCAGGGGGATGATATTCTACCTTGATTAAATTAACCATCAAGGGAGGGATATCATCAAAAGAAAAACGATCAAAGTAAAAGCTATCATCTAGAGCCATAGTAGCACATAAGTTGGCTACCTTATTACATTTTCTATGAGCATGTACAAAAACTACTTTATTGAAATCACTTACAAATAAAGAATCACTTACTAGCTTGAGGGTCATAGCACCTTTGTCTTGCTTCAAAGAATTTTGAATGTATTTGATAACATTCAAATTGTCACTTTCAATAATGACTCCTTTGTAATCTTTCATCCAGCTTTTGACATAATCTTTGACCGAGAGTATAGCATCCAACTCCAAATGAGCAATATCCCAATGTATCAATGAATCTCCCAAAGCAATCTCGGAAGATTCCACCAATACCAGCTAGTCCCGAAGGAGTTAATGAAGCATCAACATTGATTTTCATCCAATCTTTCGGTGGGGGGCACCAAGAAATAGAAGACTCCCTAAGGAGATTAGTGCTCCAGTAAGAAAGATAAGACGTAGCTTTAGTGATGGCTACAAATAAAGCATTAGCAGCTACAGCATAATAAGGAAGAGCAGATTTTCCATGCTTTATCTCGTTCCTATTCTTCCAAGAGAAGTAAACAATGGTACAATAAATCTGTACCACTCCCAGATTTTTACCAGAAATTTGTTTAAGTTCAGTTAAACAATGATCCAAGGAGTTAAAAGTAGGAATAAGAATACCCCAAGCATTGAGTTGATTGATGATGTCCACCAAGTGTTTGCAATTGACACTAATATGCTCATAATCTTCCACCATATCACATCCTCTCGCACAAGCATCCTCATCAAAAAGCTTTTGGTTCTTAAGATATAAATTGGTTGGAATAGAAGCATTGCCAAGTCTCCACCAAAACGTTTCCACCTTTTTGCTAAGTTTGAGTTTGTTGAGCCACTTGTAATAACCTTCTTCCATGAAATTAAATCTTCTATTTAACACTCGTAGGAGATTTAGAACCACATATTCACCTAATTTTAAAAATTGACTTTTTAAAAATTTTATTGGGTTCCTTTGGAAAAGATCAAAAAATGACCGTTATTATCACATTCAAAGAATTATCATCGAATGGTATTTTCTCCCTCTAGGGAGATACAGCTTTCTTTGATAAGGATTTGGATGTGAACTTATCAATCACACTTCTTAACTGTTATAACTGGATAATTAGTTGAACCTCATTTTGACCTTTCGGGGCCATATGAAGTTCTCTTAGAATCCGACTACAATACTCAAGATGAAATTTATAATTCTAAATCTAAATACCGTTATGAAATTTTATTTTCACTTCTCGAGGTGATATACTTTTTCTAACGAGATAATTCAATTTTAGAATTCAATTTTAAGTCCCAAAGAAAATCAATATTTTCATAACATGTTTTTAAAATTCCACCAAACACCCCTGACAAACTTTTAAAATTAAAATTTTCTATAGAAGTTTTCCCAAACTAAGAGTTTTGAACCATTTTAATAATAACATATTTTAATTCAAAATTATTTGCTTAGATTGTAAGTATATTATGCTCTGATGAATTTTATCTACTAAGGAATTTGCATAATCTTTAGGAAGTATAAAATTATTTTGTTCTAACTCAAGTTCAACCATTTTCAAAATCTTATTAATTTTTTGAAGTGTAGAAAGCATTTTCTAAATTTCATGATCAAATGACAAAAGCTCATTTCTATCAAATGATAAAGCTCCTTCCTATGACTATAAAGCATGCAACAAAAAATACAATTAGTGATCAAAGTAAATAATAAAAATAAATATGTAAGCATGTATAACTATGCAATTAATTCAATAATATAGTTAAAATTTTTCAAAAGGCAAAATACTTTGCCGACAATGACACCAAAAACTTGATGGTGGGTGTTATCATGGAGTTTAATTTTGAATGATAAAATTGATTAAGGCTCTATCTCCCATAAATAATACATAGATTTTTTTATATAAAATAATAAATCCTACATAATACAGGTAGGTATGCATATCAAATCAAATAATAAAATGATATAGTAGAGTGTCAACCTCATGAGAAAGTATATTTTTTAGCAACCAATTATTACTATTTACTATAATCATAAAATTATCCAACTAAAATAAAATTATTGATTGTGAAAATTCAATCACTAAATAAAAATTATTGAATAATGGATACAATATTTAAATAATATTTTTTTTAGTGATGAATGTAAAATATATATTATTCAAAATGAAATTATTATTTTCAATGTGATTCAGAGCATATACATCCCTAGATATCTGTTGAACTTATAGGGCTAAAAATGATATATGCTGACCTCATATAATTCTATCATCTCTTAAGGAACTTAGCATATTTTACATCTCATGTCTAGGTATGCAAACACATTATTTCAATATTTCTGATTGTTCTTGCATTCCTTCATCAAGGCTAAACATCACACTTAATTTTAACGACACATATGACCACTATGTACATTAAATAAAGAGCGGGATAATATTAAAAACATCTTTTAATTTTAGCAGAAGAATTTTTATTAAGACTTAATATGTTCTCTACCTCATCAATTTAAAACCAAAGACTTAGCTAGACAATAAAGAAAAGATAAGCAAACTCATTTCCATTAAAATCATAGCAAAATAAAAATACAAGAGAATGATATCACCAAAAAGGATCAATGTATATCCTTTACACTCTTTACTCAACGTATAGAGTCACTTTAAATAAATTCTTATCAATTTAAAACCAAAGACTTAGCCAGACAAGGAAAATAAAATAAGCAAACTTATTTCCATTAGAATCATAACAAAATAAAAATACAAGAGAATGATATAACCATGAAGGATTATTATATATGTTTTACACTCTTTCCCTAACGTACAAAGTCACTTAAATAAACTTTGACTAAACACTGAAATGATTATATCTAGTACTTCCCTAGTCTCTCTATATGATTTGACTCTAAGAGAGATTGAATGAAGTACTAGGAAAAGTACTAAAATTATACAAGTGACTGATCGAACTCTCTTACAAACATAATATAATGGATATTTATAGAAAAAAAGTATAAAATTGGCGTTGCGACGCTTGAAAGATCGACGCCGTTGTGCCCAACAAATAAACTAACATTGATCTGCTATGTTTTAACTCTATCGCAGCACTTGCTAACTTAGATCTATTACTTAGTGAACAATCACATTGTTTTGTTGATAGAACGTGTCATTTGGAAGTTACAACACTGCTATATTGCGGTGCTACCAATTTCTGAATGTTGCGACATTGAAATGGTAATCTTGGTGTTGATGTGTGATAGATTGTGACGCCATGGTACTTGAAGGCAGTGAGCATGTCGCAACAAAGATGACAACTTTGATGCTGCGTCGTTATCCAACAGAGAAGTTGGCGGCACCATACTGCTATTGTGGCGCTCCAGAGGTACCATGATGGTGCTATGGCGTTGTCTTCTCCAATGCCGCGACACTAGATAAGACTTAGATTATGTGCCTTCTTATATTTTTTTCCATACAACACAATTAAAATAACATATTTTTCTACATAAAAGAGAACACATAAAATAATAAATTATTTACACTTAACACCAATTTCTAATGGGTAGTGCACCTATTTGGCTCGGCTCAATGAGAGCTACACAACTCACATTGGCTTGTTGGTTGAGAGCTTAGGCTTCCAACTAAGAGATCTTGAGTTCGAGTTTGTGTATATGTTGTGTGTGTGAGTTTTCCTTAAATGGCCTAAATGTCCCAAAAAAGAAAAACCATGAGAGCTCAATCGAGGTTGCTCAAATTAATGGATACATAGGTTAGCTCCAACTCACAGCCTGAGTAAGACATCAGGAAGAATAAATTGTAGATAGGAACCCACTCGAACATCTGAAGGGGGCTAGGCTCCTTTAAGTTTATGTAGGCATTTCACCAATGATGACCTTGACTCAAGCCCTCACTCTATAGGTTAAGTAGAAAACTCAATCGAAAAGTAAGCTAGGTATGACAGTTACACCAATACATTCAGTTATTTTATGTTGTTATGTTTGAAGGTCCTTCACATATTCCATGTTAGTTAGCAAAGGACTAAGAGGGAGGCTTGACTCAATAATCTCTAAACTGCATCAAGGTGAATTGAAACTACATTGACACATGTGACTAGTGGCTTACTTTATGGCATCCATCAACACAAACTTCAGTAATTTCATCATCACTAATAAGCATTGTAATAAACCAATTATCTACTAAAAAGCAACATAACATATTTACAAAATACCTCAAGAAATTGCGGTTTAAAGATTGAAGAAATCTCTTTTTGAGATCTCTAAATATTATCTCATAGAACTAAAACTAGACATTTTGGACGCCTCTATATTTTGGAATAAAAGTTTCTGATGTGATATACTCACCTATTCAACAAAAGGATACTTGTTAAATTTCTGAACTAAAATACAGGTGATACAAATGTGCATATCCTCACTTAAATAATTTCCACATTAAAAAAAGATTTAAACTAAGTGCTCAGATATCTTAGATGATCCGTTGCTTAGTGATATAACAACTAAAAAAACTTTTAGATCTATACTATAACGTGAAAATTTTGAAATATCCCAAACATTAACATATTAACATCTACCATTAAATTGCTAAAATAAACCAAAAAAAAAAACCTTAAGAATTTCTACATATCACTGAAAAAATTCATAAAAGCAAAACACACATATCTCAGCGTCTTCCATTCTTCTACAAATTGCCACATGGTGAATGGTGATGATCTACCTGATGGAGAACGGACGGTCAGGAATTTCCCCCGTCGTTGCCAGATGGAAAAGCGGAAGTTGCAGCGGCGTTACTATTTTTTTGGGAAAATTTGGGGCAAAGCCTATATATTAAATCAGAAAAGATTACAACCAATCAAAAGAAGTAAAAATTACAAGTAAATCTCCTATACCCCCAAGAACAAAAGGGAAGTATAAAAAAAACTAGGACTCAGAATAGGCATACACCAAATAGAACCTTCGATCCAATTAATAAATTTGTCCAGGAAGCCTTTAAGTCTTAATCTGTGGAGCAGAAAATTCCTAGAAACCGAATCAAAGGTTTTTTTGATGTCAAGCTTAGCACAAAACAACTTTTGAGAACCCTTAAAAATCTTTAGCAACTCATTAGCCAAGATAATGTTGTCCATGGATTGCCTATTAGCAATGAATCCAGATTGGCTTTCATGAATGATGAGGGTAAGATAGGCTTAAGCCTATTAGCAATAAGCTTAGTAGAAGCATGCATTACATAAGAAAATCAGTCAAAAATCCAAAATAGTAGAAGCATGTGTCCCTTTAGGAATGAGGGTGATAGCCATTGCAGCGGCGTTACTCATTTAACAAACTTTGAAACTTTTGATCAAAGGAAAGGAGATTCACCGTAAATTGAAGGCCTCCTTCAAAAGTCAAGAGCGAAACTACTGGACTTGTGTCTGGGGTGCCAAACGCGGGTACGTCCAGTGCCCGTTCTACAACTCTAAGAGCGTCCCTAGGGGACTTACGATACTCAAACAAATGCTCGGCCAGACTAAACGCCAAAGCTAACCGATGCGGATTCATCAAATCTAGGTCATTCGCCATCTTCCAAGCGTCAGCATAGGCAGAATTAGCGACTTCCGCATCCCCCTTTCCGTCAAACGCTCCCTTCACCTCTGCCAAATACCAGCTGAAATCTCCCTTTAGGGTTAGGTAGTAGACCTTGGATTCTTTCGAAATAGCGGCGGGTAATAGCCGGCGATCAATGAGCTGAACGATTTCTGAGCAGGCGCTAGAGATCTCTGTCCGAGATGTAAGCAAGTAGGAGCCGGCGATGGAGCATTTTGGGGACTTAATCCAGGATCCTGTGCTGACGGTGGCTAACCTCAGCGAGTTGCGGGGATGGATGACGAAGTTCTTGAAGGCAGCGCCGAGGAGGCAGCGTTCCTTTGGGGAGAGATCCGTGTCTGGATTGGTTATTTCCAGGATTTCTTTCATGAATCGGAGCATGTGATCGTAGCGCTTGGCTTCTTCGGCGAGCTTAGCCTTGCGGAAGAGGATCTTTCTCCTCGTTTTGGCCGCTGATAGAAGCATTGTCGAGAGTTTTGTTGCCAGAACAAACAAAGTTGCAGCGGAGATTAGGTTTGGAGAAAAGGGAATGAAGATGGGAGGATTCTTGGAAAATCTTTACGATAGAGAATTTTTAAAACTCAACTTTTATAACTATCAGTTTTTTTTTTAGAAAATTTTATAACTTTCTGTTGGAGGGAGCGTCATCGTTTTAAGGAAAATTAATAATAAATTGGAGTTTGTTTTTCGCAGTTTTTTTATTCATTTATTTTTAAGATCATTATGTTGTCATTTGACAGTTATTTTTAATATATATATTTTTTAATTTTCATAATAAAAAATTAAAAAGACTTATATATATATATGAATCTCTCTCCTTTTTTCGACGAGCTAGCTCCCCCGAGGCGATTCCCAGGCTATTTCTAGGGTTTCGCTGCTCTCCGTGCATCTGGCCCTCCTGGTTGGATTCTGGTCGGCATTTTCCTTTCTCATTAGTAGATCTTTCCTTATAGATCATTCACTGCTACGCTTTGTTCGTCCATCCGGGTTTCGCCCTTAGGGGCTTTTCTCTGATGGCTGCTGTTCCACCATCCAACCCTTGGGGTTCTAATGCTGGATCTGTCCAGGTCAAAAACAAAGGCTTCTTTAACCTTGAAGCGGGTGATAGCTCGCCACCGAGATCACATTCTTTCAAGGAAGTGCTTTCAGGTGTCTCTTCCTCAGGTGATGCCCTTCCTAACTTATCTCAAACGACGACTTTCAACGGTGTCCCTACTATTTTATTGACTGATGATGAAGTTCTTAAGTTGGCTTCTCCTTTTCAGTTTACTTTGGTCGGTAAGTTTGGCTTGAACAGACCTAACCTTGACTCCATTCGCATGTTCTTCAATAACCATAAACTATCCGGCTTTTTTTTTATTGGTCTTTTGGACTCTAGACAAGTGGCCATACAACTATCTAACGATCTTGATTAGAGTAGAATTTTTGCTAGACGGTCCTATTTCATTTTTAACTGTCAAATGCGTATTTTGAAATGGACTCCGTTTTTTGATATCAAGGAAGAATCCCCAATTGTTCCGATCTGGATTTCTTTCCCCAATTGATCCGATCTGGATTTCTTTCCCCAATTGTTTCGATATGGATTTCTTTCCCCAATTTAAGGTTACATTTTTTTAATCAGAAAGTTTTGCATGCCTTGGGTTCCATTTTCGGACGACCTCTACAAACCGATCAAGCCACTACATCACGAACTAGGCCTTATGTGGCTAGAATTCTTGTAGAGGTGGACATTACCAAGAAATACTCAAAATCTTACAGTTGCATGCAAAAGGTGGAATTTGAGAAAGTTCCTGATTTCTGTTCTCATTGTAAAATCCATGGCCATTCCTCTTCAGATTGCTTTAAACTACACCTAGAACATAAAAAACCGGCTGCTCAGTCGAACGGTATGCATGGATCCACCAAAAAAATTTATGTGCCTTTCGGGAAGGTTGACCAATCAATGCAGGTGGAACCGCTTCCTTCGGTTGATAAGCCGGAAAATGAATTAGTTGCTTTACAAGTCCCTCACACCATTGCTAATGTTGATTGTCACGTTACTGAGGAGCTTCATGACACTTTACTGAACAATTTGGAAGCGAATGACCCTAAAATTTTCATTTCTATTGAATCTATGTTAAGTGAAGTTGAGACATTTAAAGATGATCAATCGACTTTGAATCCTATTATTACTACTAATTTTGCTGAAAAAGATTCTCATTCTACTCCTATTGATGTAGAAAACAGGGAAGATCAAATAATTGTGGATGGGAACAATGAAGGTTGTGAAGAAGGGGAATTCCTCCCGCCTACCAATAGTGAGCAAGTTAATGTAAGTAATGTTGTTGCTTCATCTTCTAATTATAATGTGGCTAAACAAAAAAACATGGATGAGGATGGCTTTTCTAAACCCGGTAAAAAGAAAGGAAAGAATTCTAAAAATTCTTTGCCATCTACCCCACGGTCCACCCGAGCTCAAAATTCTTCCAAATATCTTAATGATTAAGGCTCTTCTATGGAATGTGAGGGGTATTGGTGGTAAGGAATCTATTGCTAGAGTTAAAAACCTTTCTAGAATGCATAGTATCGTGTTATTAGTTTTAATTGAACCTCTTATTGCTTTTGATAAAATTAGCTCTACTGCTTCTAAACTAGGTTACTCTAATTTTGTTGCTAATTGCTCCAAAAAAATTTGGATTATGTGGAATAACAACATTAATGTTAGTATTTCATTAGATTTCCCTCAAATTATCAACTGTGAAATAGATTTTTTTAACCTTAAATGCTATGCCTCTTTTGTTTATATGGCTTGTTCTAGATGGAGTCGTATCCCTCTTTGGGATCAGATCCGTAATTTTGGTATTAATTTTAATTGGCCTTGGTGTATTGGTGGTGATTTTAATACTATCTATAGTGATGCAGAAATGAGGGGGGATTTCGGCCTAATACTGCTGCTATGGATGATTTTAACAATGTGATTGCTGATTGCAATTTAAATGATATTGGTTTTATTGGTAGTCCTTTCACTTGGAACAGATCTTCTTTATGGAAACATCTTGAAAGATTTCTTTTTAATAACGACTAGCTTTCTATTTTCTCTACTTCTTCTGTTGAGCATCTCAGTAGAACTTTGTCTGATCATGCTCCTTTATTGATTTCTATTAATGCTAATAGAAATGTGGGTAATGCAGCTTTCAGATTTAAAAAAATGTGGCTTTCTCATGTTGATATTAATAATGTCATTAGTACTAATTGGAATGCTCTCATTTATCTGAACAATGATATTAAGGGCATGCTTAGATTATGGTCTAAATTAAGTAGATTAAAGCATGTTTTAAATTGGTGGAACAAAAATGTTTTTAAGAATATTTTTACCAATATTAAGGAAGCGGAAGCTAAAGTTCTTAATCTGGAGAATACCTATTTGGTTAACTCCTCTATGGAAAACCTTGTTAATATTAACTTTGCTAAAGATTCTCTTGTCCATCTTTAGGATCAGGAGGAAATTTTTTGGAAACAAAAAGCTAATGTTAAATTTACCATTAAAGGGGATAGAAATACCAAGTTCCTTCATACCGTGGCTAATCGTAACAGGTCTAAGAACTACATTCATAAAATTGGGAATAGTGATGGCTCCTCTATTGAGTATGAGGATTTAATTTGTAATTCTGGTGTGGAGTATTTCAAGAATTGCTTCAATGATCATTTTAGCAATGTTGCTTTAATTAATCCTCATGTCATCCCTAAAATTGTTAATGATAATGATAATAACTTACTTTGCCGGATCCCCTCCGATTTAGAAATTTATGATGTTGTTATGGATTTGAATGGCGATTCCATTGCGGGGCCGGATGGTTATACTTCTAATTTTTTTCAAAAATGTTGGGATATTGTTAAAATTAATGTTATTGAAGCGGTTAATGATTTCTTCAAAGGGGCTCCATATCCCAAGTATTTCACTTCCACCAACATTGTGCTCATCCCTAAAACTGCTGGTGCTAATAAATGGAAAGAGTTTAGGCCTATTAGCCTCTGTTCCTTCCTTAACAAGCTTATTTATAAGATTCCCTCCAAGAGATTGGAAAATATTCTTCCTAGAATATATCTAGTAATCAAACTAGTTTTGTTAAAGGTAGGAGTATTTTCGATAATGTTCTCTTGACCCAAGAACTTGCTCATGATATTAATACCAAGGTCAAAGGTGGTAATATTATCTTAAAATTGGATATTTCTAAAGCTTATGACAACTTGAACTGGAATTTTCTTTATAAGGTGCTCTCTTTATTTGGTTTTAGTGATTCGTTTATCATGCTTATTAAGAATAGCATTGATAACTGTCACTTTTCTTTTATTATTAGTGGTAGAACTCATGGTTTTTTCAAATCATCTAAAGGCTTAAGGCAAGGTCATAATATTTCCCCCGCTTTTTTCATTGTTGCAATGGAATATTTTTCTAGGAGTATTGAAGACTTATACTTAAGAAACCCTAAGCTCAATTTTCGCACTATTACAGGCTTGCCGATTTCTCATCTTAGTTTTGCTGATGATTTCATTATTTTTTCCAATGGCTCGATAAACAACATTAAAATTTTGAGCAATTTTATCCTGCATTTTCATGATTATAGTGGTTTGTCTATTAATAAGGAGAAAAAGCAGTTTTATCGTTGGTAAGTCTATTAATAGAAACAAAATTATTGCTATTCAAAGAATTTGTGGCTTTCAATCCAAATCTTTACTTATTAAGTACTTGGGCACTCCAATTTTTAATGGTAAAAAGAGAAGCCATATTTTTGAAGATATTTTTACTTGTATTCAAAAGAAATTAACCCACTGGTCCTTTAATTTTCTGTCTTTTGGTGGTAGATTGACTCTGATCAAATCTGTGTTGAACTCTATCCCTATTTACTTATTTCACACACTTCAACCGACTGCCACCATCTGTCTTAGAATTGAAAGAATGATAAACAAGTTTTTTTGGCGGCTCCAAGCTTAATACGAATGGAATTCGTTGGGCCTCTTGGAGTAATATGTGTGGAATTTATGATGAAGGTGGTTTAGGTTGCAAAAATATCCCCGATATGGCTCAAGCTTTTTCCCACAAGCTTTGGTTTTCCTTTAAATCTAAAGTGAGTTTATGGGCTCGCTTTATGAATGCTAAATATTGCAAAGATTCTCATCCCTTACTTGTGGTTTATAAAGCTTCTGATTCTTTGATCTGGAAAAGACTTTGCAAAATCAAGTGGGAGGCCGATCAATTCATTCAATGGGGTACGTATTGGCAAAGGTAACGTTTTCTTTTGGCAAGATAATTGGCTTGGGTCTTATTCTATTGATAATATTTTAAATACTGCCTCTATGGAGACTACCAAGTTTTCTTATTTTATTGATAATGGTTGTTGGAATGTTACTAAGGTTTTGGAGGTTATTCCTTCAATTATCGTTGACAAGATTTTGATGATTCCTTTAGACTTGACTTGCAAGGATAAAATTATGTTTTCCCTGTCTTCTTCAGGTCTTTTTCAAATGAAAAAAATGTGGGATACCTATATATCTAAGTATAACTACTCTCTTATCTACTCTTCTTTATGGCACAACAACATC